GTAAAATACTGAAAAGTCAAACTTGGTCAAACCTTTCAAACTTAAAACTTCTAGCTGAGAATCATTCTTCCAAATCAATTCCGAATAACCTAAAAACTGAAACCAAGGATTCACACAAGTTATAATACGTCATACAGAGCTAATCATGCTCTCAAACAACCGAGCAAAGTGCAAATTCTCAAAACGACCGGTCGGGTCATTACAATTATGTTTATGTGTTTGCCCTTTTTGGGAGATTCTATGAGTGATAACCGTGTCTATTGTTGTTTTAATTCATTATTGAAAGTTACGAGGCTAGAGGTGAATTAATGTTGTCCATTACGGTAGGTTTTGATGTGATTCCTGAATATTCTGGTTACAATTTGTGATTTAGATGCGCTTCCGGGGTGAGAATTCAGTAAGTGTTGTGATTCTATTGGCAGAGTTAAGTTAGTGGAAGGTTTCGATTTTTATGATGTCTATTCGACCTGCGATGCAGAGTTGAGGGTGAGACCCTCGCGATTTCATGTGATGTGATATGTTTGAGCTCGGTTGCGTGCCGCGGTGGAGAGTTATACCAGGAGGAGATCCTTATGATTTGTTCATGTACTTTGATTTTTTTCCATTTCTAAATTGGATTATAGCATAGTACTGATAGAGAGTTTTGCCTGTCGGGCTTGTTTGATATTTCTCTTATGTGTTTCTCTTTACATATTCAGTCATTTTTATATTGTGCTTATTTGAGTTTTAGTTTACGGGGTGTGTGCCCGGTGGCGTTAGATGTGACTTGTTGATTCGGGTTTATAGTTATGAGGTCTTCATGTTTCTTTCATCATTGTCAGTGTTGTTGAGGTTTGCAATGGATCTCTAACGGATATGAGGCTAATTGACAGTGTTGATTTTGATTACGGGCAGCTATTGTGATCAGAAATGTTATTTTGGGCCTATATATGGTGTGTCATGTTGGGTGTTCATACCTTTTGGGTGTAGGCATAAGTTGTTGCAGTTGGTTGAGACTGATACCAGATATGAATTTAGAATCGGGTGTTTTGGAGATAAATAGATGGTGAAAATTTTGACTCTAAGGCTTATCGGTGTTGGTAGTAAGGATAAATTACAGTTGATATGGTGTCTTCAGGCTTATGTTGATTGGGGTCACGTTGGTTCACCCGCGGGTGTATGTTGGATATGTGCATTCATTGATTTGAAGACTTCGAGGCGATTCTTGGCACGTTCGAGGACGAACGTTTGTTTAAGAGGAGAAAGATGTAACGACCCGGCCGATCATTTTGAGAATTTAAGTCCCATTCGGTAGCATAAGGTCCTGATTAGATTCGTATTATGTGTATTAAATTGCGTTCGTGGTTGAATTCAATTACCGGATGATTCGGAGTCAAATCGGAAAAAGGATGCAAGTTTTGGAAGCTTAAGCGGTAAGAGTTGACCGGAATTTGACTTTTGTGTAAACAGCTCCGAAATGAGTTTTGGATGATTGCAATAACTTTGTATGGTGATATTGGACTTAGGCGTGCATCCAGATTTGGATTTGGAGCTCCGTAGGGTAATTTGGAGCATTTCGGCGTAAGTTGAAAAAGTTAAAGTTTGAAGGTTGAGAGGTTTGACCAAGAGTTGACTTTAGCGATATCGGGGTCAGAATGCGATTCCGAAAGTTGAAACAACTCCGTTATGTTATTTGGGACTTGCCTGCAAAAATTGACGTCATTCTGGGTTGGTTTGTTAGGTTTCAGCGTGAATTTTAGAAGTTGGAAGATTTGAAAGTTCATAAGTTCGATTCATGGTGCGATTCATAGTTTCGACATTGTTTGATATGATCTGAGACCTCGAGCGGGTCCGTGTTAGGGTATGGAAATTGTTGGTATGCTTGGACGGGGTCCCGGGGGCCCGGGTGTGTTTCGGACGTGTTTGGGCTGGTTTGCATAGTTTTGGACAGGTCTGTTTCTGGTGTCTCACACCTGCGACATCTTGGATCGCAGGTGCGGCTCCGCTTCTGCGTGAGCCTAATCGCTTCTGCGATCGTTGAGGCCTGGGAGCTCGCTCGCTTCTACGGAAGCTGGCACGCAGGTGCGAAGGCTGCTTCTGCTGATCCTCGATCGCTTCTGCGAAGGAGCTCGCTTCTGCGCTCCTGGCATCGCTTCTGCGGTGCCGCTGGTGTGGCTATATTATCCACAGATGCGGACCTGGGCCTGGTAAGTTAAGTTTGAAGATGCGAAAATCTGCCCGCAAATACGGTTGCGCAAATGCGCTTAATTGTCTGCAGATGCGGAAGTCCGAGGCAGAGAGTTTATATTCGAGGGTTTTGCCATTTTTTCCATATTTTGAGTTTTAGACCTCGGTTTTGGGAGCTTCTTTGTGGGCATTTTCAAGAAAATCGATTGGGTAAGTGTTCTTCACCTAGAATTTATTATATTCCATGATTTTATCTTTATTTTTATCATTTAATTTGTATTTTGAGTTGAGGAAAATGAAGATTTTTGATGAAATATTTCAAAACGAAAAATGATGATTTGAGGGGCGAATTGGTATCGGAATTTGATAATTCTAGTATGGTTGAACTTGTATCGGAATGGGTATTCGGATTTATGTAAAATTTGTCGGGTTCCAAGGTGCGGGCCCAAGGGTCGACCTTTGGGTCAATTTTTAGGTTTTTGATAAAGATTGAGGCTTTATGATCCGGAATATATTTCTTATGAGTTTTAATTGTGGTTTGAAGTTATTTTGGTTAGATTTGAGCCGTCCAGATGCTATTTTACTAGAGAAGCTCATTTTAGAGTATCGGTCTGTCTTCTTCGAGGTAAGTATCTTGCCTAACTTCGTGTGGGGAAATGACCCCTTAGGATTTGAGTCTTCTATGCTAATTGTAGTCCGTATACGGGAGGTGACGAGTACGTGCTCGAACTAATTTGTGAAAAATTATTCTTTTAGGGTTCTTAGGTCCTTGTATTCACTGAATATGCAGTTGTTCTCGTTATGATTACGTTTCTTAATTACTAGTTTCACCTCTACCTGCTTTAATTAGAATTAATTACTTTATGATCCACTCTTGTTGCTTATTTGATTCATCAATTCCTTAACTGAAATTATTATCTCTTCTATTGCCATGTTATCTTTTCCTAACTGCTTATCTTTATTCGAGGTTATAATTATCTCTTATGTAATTATTCACCCTTAATTGAGGCTATGATTATCTTTCTGTTGCTTACCCTTATTGAATTTGTTGTATCTCTTTCCTAATTTCCCAACCTTAACAGAAGTTAGATATCATGTAATTTAGTTGACTGTCCTTATTTGGAATTATTCGAGTTGTGTTACCTCCCTTGTTGTTGAATTGTACATTGTGGGACCGTTGTTACATATTATTTCCTTCCCTGTTGAGTTGTTCTTATTATGACTAGCATTCTCTATTGTGGCTACTCCTTGTGACATAGTTCCTCCGTTTCTTTGAGTTCTGGAATCTTCGAGTTGACTTATTTGTCGTACCCAGGTGTTATTGTCATTTTTGTTGTTGTACTTATTTTTGTGATGCACGAGGTTTCTGCCGTTCGCTTGTTGTTATTGTGATGCACGAGGTTTCTACCGTACGAGTGTTATTAGGTTGCACGAGGTTTCTGCCGTGCTATTGTTAATATTGATGTTTGCACATGCGGCGTGACAAGGCNTTATGCACGTGTGACGAGACAAGGCGGACATTTACTTTACTATTGCATACGTGGCGAGACAATGTGTGCTATGTTAGGGATTGATTTGTGATGATTTGTGATGGCCTGGGGGTATTCTTGTTGTTGATGTTTGTGTAGTGGTACACTTACCTATGTGAGCTTTATCTTGTGGAAAGTTATAAAAAAATATTCTGCATGCTGTCCATTTCTTTTTCTATACTTTCTAGCTGGCATGAACCATGTTACGACACTTGCACAAACATACACGTAGTTGAGCACTCTTATCGGTTAAGAGTTTTTCTTGATATTGCTGAGTATAGATGCACACCCTGGTTTACTTGACTACTATGTGAGAATGGATCTATTTGGCACGTGAGTCGTCTGTGCGGTTATGAAGTGTAATGAGGGAACAAGATGCCAAGTGTTAGGGTTCAGGTATTGGGACCCGTGAGTTGTGAATAGTATGAGGTTCGGTACCTCGTGGAGTTTATTGACTAAAACCTGGTGTGAAAGTGGTTGTTTTTATCTAGTTGCTACCTGCCCTTCTTTTAATTGTGTTCATCGGATATAGGTTATATTTCCATTCGTTCTTCTATGTCATTTTTACGGTGTTCCGCTAATAGTTGTTGTAACCCTTTCTTACTAAAATTTACCGTATTAATTGCCACTTCGCGTAGTCTTTATGTAGATATCATACTCTGTTGTTTTTATACTTATACTTGTTCAGGTTATTTAGTCCAGTAGGTGTCTTGACTGTTTTTTGTCACTACTCCACTGAGGTTAGTCTTGATACTTGCTGGGTATCGCCGTGGTGTACTCATACTACACTTTTGCAAATTTTTATGCAGATCCAGGTATTTCGAAGTAAGTTGATCATTAGCTAGTTGTGCGGATTGTTGCTATGGAAACTCAAGGTAAACCTGATGCTGTCTTCGCAGGCTTCGGAGTCATCTTTCTATTTTGTATTCACACTGTTTTACCTATTTCCAACCAGTTGTATTTAAAAATTTGTAGCAAAATCTGTAAAGCTTATGACTTGTACTACTAGTTTTTGGAATTGTAAATCTTATAGAGATTTTCATTTCAAAAATTGTTAGATGTTATCTATTTATTGTTGTTATTCAGTAAATATTAGGCTTACCCAATCCCTAAAACTAGGTGCCATCACGATATCCAACGGAGAAAAAATCGGGTCGTGACAATTACCACTTTGTATGTCTTTGACGGTGGCTGTGTCTTTCTCCTTTTAGTATATGAGCCGTCTCCACGGCCTCTTTCCCTAAAATAATGAAACAATATTTTAGAAGTAGTTGATATACGTATATAAAAATGAAAGTTTTTACTTTAAACGTAAGTACCATACCTAGACGCAAGGGCATACTCCAAGTCAACCGGAAACTCAACTTTTTCATCAGCTAGTACAACTGTGGTAAACATAGCACTCCTCTCACTATCATAGGCAAAATGTTTGCCACCTAGACGGAAAGCATTTTGTTGCACTTTGTTTATGATTTTTCGTTTTATGACTATTGACTCTACGGGACTTCCATCTTCAGAATTCATAGCAACCTAATGCAATAAGATCATTATTTTTCAGTTTATCTTTTATATTTATGCATTTCAAACACAATTAACATCGCATATTATAATGGAAGAAATTAAATGTACTATCAAAGATGAAAGCTTACATTATAATGGAAGAAGTACCCATCAGAGTTGGTGGTTACTACTTTAAAATGGTTTGTACGTAGGCAAATCTCTGTGCCTGGTCTCATAAGAGCTGATGGAGATGCCATTTTATCTGACGAAGGAAGGAGTTCTTACACTTTCAAAATAATATTTTAGAAAATCTTTCAAACAGCAATGTGACAAACAAATTGTTACTAAAGGAGCAATTTACTTGTGCATCTCTCTCTAAAAACAATGATGAACTAGACTTTTCAAGAACGCGTGCAGAAATTAAAGAAATGGCATCATTTCATTTGAAAAACTCTCAAGAACAACATGATGTACATTTTATGTAGAAAATACCTATCAACTCACAGATTTTGTTTCTATTTCGTCGTCCAAGATCATACTATTGTGTTATGAGAACGGTATTTTAAAAATAAATAAAAAAAGAAAAATAGAATGAGAAAAACAAAAATTACAAACTTAAAAGAAACATTGCCCAGAAACTGAAGAATCGGAAAATTAATATCTTTTATCGAGTAAATTACACTGACGTTGATAAAAAATATTTACACACGTCATTTGCATATGCTATACAAATAGTACAATAGCCATATTTTTCTGCCTTACATGCATTT